AAGTCTCCACAAAATGGACAGAAATGAGATCCAGGCACAGTTAAAGGTAATTTTCTGATTATTTTATGTTGCTACTTCTGGTACTTAGAGAGTGATATACTGGTTATATTGTGACAATGTCCGTTGAGTTAAAAAAAAAAAATTAAAGACAGGGCCAGCAAGGTGGCTCAAGGGCTACGGGCACCACGCACCATGCCTGATAACATAACTAGTTAGTTCTGTGTCCCTAGAACCAACAAGCTAAGGAGAAAATAGCTCCCATGGGTTGTCCTTTGACCTCCATATGCACGCACGCATGTACACACAAATAAAAAAAAATGCATAAAAAATTTAAGAGCGTTTGCCAGTGACTTTATTTTACAGGATACTGTAGGTGCCTGCCCCACATTCTTTCCCCAGTTCACCTCCACCCCAGACTTTCTCAGAAGATGACACACTGACTTACTGTAGATTCACCTTTGTGTACCGGTCACTCGTACAACGGCATGTAAGATTCCCCAGAGGTTTGGGTTAGCTTTGCTCACAGCTGTATTTCCTCCCTTTGCCACATCAGAACAAACAGTTCATGTTTGTTGAGTTAGTGGATGAGACTATGGGGGATGAGGAGGCACCGACCTCTTGCAGTTTTGGTACAATTACTTTGGCACAATTCTTCAATCTGCTCCTTCCTTACTCTGGCTATCTTTGCTCTAGGCTTACTTGGGTCTCGTAAGTTTTAACCAGTATATCATCGGGAATGCTTTCTGGCTATTTCCTTGAGAGGCTTAATTTAGGTGTTCTTCCTTTTATCATCTTCAAGATGCCCACGACAGGGCTGGCCATGTAACGAGGTGGTCGGGTGCCTGCCCAGCACGAGGAAAGCCGTGGGCTTCCTCTCCTACAACAGAAAAAGGGAGAGGGTGGATGGAGGACCCGGCCTCTCCCTACAAACATTCTAGCTTTTTTTTTATATTGGCTCACTGAACTGGAAATGCTTAGGTTCTGGATCGTGTGTATCTATGCATCTAATCGTGGTTGCGCATAAATATCTTACTATGACTTAATGTAAATTTATGAAAAGTGACCAAGGTCCTGTCCATGCATTATTCTTTTTCCATGTTTTGAATTTGAATTATGTCACTAAAAATTGTCTTATTTTCAAAAGTATGGGGACCATGACAGCTACAATCTTGTAAATAAAGTAGCTTTTTTTAACAGTTGTGTCTTATTTTGTAGGAAGGATGCGAAAATGCAAGGCCCCACTGGGAGTCGAACCCAGGATCTCCTGTTTACGAGACAGGCGCTTTAACCAACTAAGCCATGGAGCCACATGGCAGCAGGTATGAAAGACGGGTGAATCTATCCTGTTTTATTTCTGCTTGATGAGGAAAAAATAGCTTCCGCTCTCTGGTGATGTCCATTTTCGTCATAGAAGAAACAGCTGTGAAAAGATGCTGCATTTTCTATAGTCAAGCTGAAAACATCAAACGCGAAAACTCCCCGTGTCCGATATTTTCCTCTTATCACAAAGATAGTTATTTCACAAGAAAAGAAATCCGGCTGTGTAGCGACAACGGCCATCTACGATGAAGTCGATAAATGTGCAGGCGCGGCGCTTGTGCGTGCTGTCCGAGTCTTTGGCCTCTTCAAAGAGCTGTATAAAGCAAATCATATGCAGCGCTCTCGCTTGCCAGATTTGCTGGCGACTGGGTATAAAGGCGATCTTTAGCTACAGTTGTCTGCAGGTTTGCACCCTCTTCGAACTTCGTAAGATCCGTTTCAGGGACCGTAAAGACATTCTCACGCAGAGCCCCTGGAGCGAGGGGTTGGGGAGGCTGGAGCCTGCGCTTTGGATATTGCGCGCCAGAAACCGCTTGGTTTCCTGGGAGTGGAGGTGGAGGGTTGTGGTCAAACTGGGAAGTTGGCCGGTGCTGGGACTGTTGGGGGCGGGGAGTGGGGAAGTTGGGGAAGAAGAGGGACCTTAGGAACTAACCTGCCAGGCCACAGGGATGAGGCAGGCAGGACCCATCTTCTCAGGGCAGGGGAGGACTCCAAGAGTCCCATAAAATGCAAACGAGTTTCCGAAGAATCGAAGTGTGGGAATTAAGTGCTACCCAAAAGACGCCTTTGGCAAAGGCTTTCACCCTAAGGACTTTATAATATCAGGTAGAACACGATTCCCGGTACGTACAGTTGAAAGGCACGGGGTGGTAGCTGCTCTCATTAAAAACAACAAATTCTATGGTGGTGTACACCTGCAATGCCAACACTTGGAAGTCTGAGGCAGGAGAATTGCCTTGAACCGGAGGCCAACCTGGTTTACCTAGCAAGCCTCTGCTTTAAAAATAAACAGCCTCTAAACTCAACTCTCTGCCGCAGACCGCAAAGTGCAGTAGGGAAACTGGGAATGTCCTGGGACCGAAGGGACAGGTACGGGCTCAGGACCCCCAAGACCAAGTCCTCAACACAAAACTTGGAATGTCCTGGGACCGAAGGGACAGGTATGGGCTCAGGACCCCCAAGACCAAGTCCTCAACACAAAGGAGATTTATTTGCCGCAGAGAGACAAAGGTCCTGGAATAAGAAAGACAGGAGACAGAGGACGAGGCAGAAGGAGGGATAAGGAATATTGGGGGTGGGGTGAGGCCAAGGACTGCCTCTGGGTAGAAAGGACACAGACTAGGAGGTTTATAAAGAGCAGGCAAATGGAGGTTTATAAAGATAAAAGGAGAAACCCCGTGTTAGGATAATGTGTTTAATTCTGATTCACCATCTTAATTAGGGTAACCAAAAGGGAGCGTTTGATTATTGGACTTCAATGATTTGATTGCTGGACCTTGGTAGTCTGCCTCCAGAGGAGGAAGTGGCCAAATAAGAGAATAGACCTCGGTGGCTTGCTTTCAGTGTATAATCTGATAGTTTTAGCAGGGCAGAGGGGATGGGGGAGAAGAGAAAGGCCAGCCAGAGCTACGGTTGCCATGCTCAGCTTGGCTAGAGACCCTCGTGAGACCAAGTGAGGTCCTTGTCCCAGAACCCGGTTCTCTGAGTGAGGACCCTCATGAAAGATTTTGTGCTGCTGACCATCCTTTAGGTTGTGAGCAATCACAACTTACGATTACATGATCGATTGTGGGAAAGTTTGGCTTAAGAAAATTGCTCCAGCAAAAATACTTAATTGTGGTGATAAGTAAAAGAGTTATATAGATATTCTGAGCACTGCCACACACCAGAGCGCCTCGGGCACGCCAGTTGGCCCCTTTCTAGGTAATATGCACAGTTTTCCTCCAGAACTAAGATCCGTCATAGACATTGGCTGAGGAGTGAAATGGGACTTTTTTTTCCTTTTGTTCCTTTTATAAAGACTTTTACGGTATTACTATGGTCATTATCATTTGGTCCCATATCACAAACCAACTCTCACATCTCATACAGCAGGGACATTTCTGTTTCTGCTTCCCCCAGCTTTGGCTGCGTTATGATTTGGATATGAAATGTCCAGCACAGACTCACGGCTTTCAACACTTGCTCCTCAGCTGATGGTGGCTTTGGGGTAGGCTGTGGTCCTTTAGGACGTAAGTGACTGCAGGGCAGGGTTCTATGGCATACAGCCTGTCCTGCTGAGATCTCAGCAATCACCTCACACGCTTGCTGCCAGAGAAACATCGCAAGCTGTCGAACTCATCATCAACTAGGAACCAAAGCAAGTCCTTCCTCCCTTATGTGGCATTTGTATTTGGCTACACAGGCAAGAAAAATAACGAATATAGGTTCCTCAGAACAGCGTGTATTTTCCCTCAAACAGAGGCTGAGCATCTGTGTTCTTTAGAGCAGCAGCGGACCTAAGGCCTCAGAGATTCTCAGGCACAGAACACATGGGCTGTGACAAGCCCAAGTTCCCTGTTGCTAGGAGATTTTCAGGGCACCTCCAAGCCCTGAGAGTCAAGTGTACCAAATTCCTAGACCCAGATGTTGTAACGTTAGCTGCTGTAAGAACCAAGGGGCTTGCCTAGACACGGCTCAAAAGCTGGAACACTAGCTCTGGGATCCCAATACCTAAGGCTTGGGAGCAGCAGAACTAGCTGATACAATCACCACCAGCTCCTGATAAGGGCAGATTACAATTAGTGGCAAGCAGGTAACAGAGTAATAAGCCCCCACCCTACACGCTGGGAGCAGTAAGTCTCTGCACTGTGGAACCCGTCGCCATAAGCCTGTAGTCTTCCAGACTTGTAGCTATAACAAGCCCTGGAACCTGACACTAGACCATAATCCCTGTAACACTCAAGGGCCAGAACTACAGACACCAGAAAAGCTACTTTTCCTGCTTCAGTTTTCCATCTGAATAGAACAGAGTACATTAGTCAGCTGACCACTAACGGTGGGGCTTTCTGTAGGGCTTTTGCACCTCGATAAAGATCAGATTTTGTTGCTTTTTGACATTTTGTTCTGTTTATGTGCTTTCAGATTTTAATGGTAAGTATGAATCAATTTTATAATAGAAATGAGAGAGGAGGGAGGGGGGGAGGGAGAGGGAGAGAGAAAGAGATTCTTTCAGAAACAAGAAGTCCTCTTTTGTCGGGGCTTGGAGAGCTGGGCTGAAAGACCAGAACAGAAGGCACAGAGAGGTCTGGCTCTAAAACGTCTATGAGCTAGGCGTGACAGCAGTACCTGTGTTCCTAGCTATTTGAAAAACTGAGACAGGAGGATTGGAAACTCAAGGCCAGCCTGGGCTACATACAGAGGTCTGTGCTTTAGGTCTGAGCAGCAATGTGTCTGCAGCACCACTTGATGCTTTTAGTAGTACCAAGGAAGATTCTAGAACACTTCTGAGAATACCAGAATGTTGGAGATGTGTAAGTGGCAAGGTCAAGAAAGCACATAATAGGGACTGAGAAACATCACTTGGAGTCCACTGCTGCGGGGTCTTTGATTATTTATTGATCATTATCTTGAGACAGCAGTCACAGGAACAAATTTAAAGACATGAAAAGTCAGGGCGAGAGCAAAGTACATCCTTTGGTGTGAAAGACATCCATGGCCAGGAGCTGGGACTGGAATGTGCTAACAGGAAGGCACCCAGGAAGGTTCTGGTCGGGTATCATCCAGAGGGGCCCTGGGGCCTACGGGGATGGAGATGACCCTTCCTTCATGCCAGGTGAGGTTTCTGCTCTCAGCCTTCAGAATCCCCTAAGAAAACTACAAGATCACCACCTAGGGGACTAGACAGAAGAAGAGCTTAACAAAGCATCCCCAGTTTGGGAGGAGAGGAGGCTGGAAAGGGAGCCCAGAGGGTCGTCTACCCATTTCCACTTCCTTTAACTCACTGGGACCCTTGCGGGATTGCTGTTTTTAGGTGGATAGGATTGTCTGGATCATCAACTCTAAAATATGACTTCCTTTTGGAATAGTTTAGGAAAACTTGATATAGCAGAGCCTGATATCTGGGTAAATAGATTTTCTTTTCCTTAATTTTCAATGCATGTGCACACCTACCAGAACTACACTTCTGTATACAGTCATACAGAGCTGTCCACACAAGCATTAGGAGGGACCTAGGCAGTGTTGTAGGCTTTGGTCATACAGAGGCTGGCGAAGGAGTGGAGCAAAGGCATTCTGTGTAAGGTATATCCTAGTGGGTCTGGGTTTGGTTTAGGTACTCCATGATGTCGGATTGGACAGTGCTGACAGGGGTGTGGTGGAACCAGCGCATGACAGGCACTCCATCGGACCCCACCAGGAACTTCTCGAAGTTCCAGCGGATGTCATGGACCTTCATGGGATTCCAGAAGAGATATTCCGTAGAGCCCAAGAGTTCAGAGGTGGGAGGACAGGAGTTCTAGAGCAGAGATACAAAAAATGGAAAGATGAAAAGATAATCTCGTTTCTGCTTCTGTGTTGTCCAGCCTCCTCTCGGCTGCTGTAAACCTTACTGTTTGAAGCTCCACATGCTTCCAGCCCCTCCCAGACCAACAGTATACGACTCCCAGCACAGCAAGGACGCTCTAGCCAGCGTGGAGAGTGTGGCAGTCAGCGAAAAGCACCTCACGTTCCTGCCTCTCCTTTACTCTCATGAATTTTAGTCATGAGTAAAATAATACCTTCAGCTGTGCATGGTGGCACACACCTTTAATCCCAGCACTCGGGAGGCAGAGGCAGGCAGACCTCTGAGTACGAGGCCAGCCTGGTCTCCAGAGTGAGTTTCAGGACAGCCAGGGCTACACAGAGAAAGCCTATCTCAAAAAAAAAAAAAAAAAGAAAAAAAAAAAAGGTTTCTTTCAGCAATTCATGATTTCTATGGTTTCAGCTCCCATAGGTGATAATGAGTTGGCTTTAGAGCAGGAGCTCCCAGACTTTGGGACTTCATAAGCCAGAAAAGCTCAATAGCTGTTTTGACAATGAGGAAAATAAAAATCTGCTGTAACTATAAATTGAAATCTTAAGATAATTTATGTGTTTACTCTCCTTTTATTTTCTTTAGATTTATTTTTAAATTGTATGTATATATGTGTGTATCTCAGGTGGTTGTGTACACCTGTGAGTACAAGGCCTGCAAAATTTAGAACAGGGTGTCGGATCCTTGGCTGAACATGTGGTTGAAAGCTGCATAGACATGGGTTCTGGGAAATGATCAGGAAGATCAGTGTGTGTTCTCAGCTGCTGAGCCGTCCCTCCAGCTCCATACTATTTACTTTTTTTTTTTAAATTAGTTTCACTCAACAGCCCAAGTTGGTCTGAACCTCAGTGCGTAACCCAAGTTGACTATGAGCTCAGTTTCCCAAGCGCTGGGACTTCAAGTATGAGTCTCTCCATCCGATAGGACTTTTAATTATTAATCAGCTGTGTATGAATAATATCACTGTTTCTCTTAAAAGGGGGCCTTGTTATGTAGCTGACTTACCTGGACTATGGACTACATTACCCTGAATTCACAGCCATCCCCCTGCCTCTGCATCCTGAGTACTTATTATTGGAATTAATAGTTGCCTTTTCTATTTAATAAGCAGATCTGTTGTTTCAGCTTGCTGTGGATGAGTGAACGTATCTATAGGCACAGCTTTGTCTGCAGACCACCCTCCGGGGACAAGCGACTAAAAGATCCTTGTTGGGAAGGTCCTTCTTTCCTGCTGTTCTGCGGTTATAATACTCGGTGGTTCTTCTCCCTTGGCACTCTCTTTTACCCATGTTTATGTCATCTCCTGACTTAATAATAGTTCCTTCCGATAAGAGACTAATCTACTAATAACGGTTAACATGTATCTCACAGTTTCTTGAAAAAAAATAGGGATTTGATTAATGATTATAGAATAAACAGATCATTAATGTTCAGCAGGGGAGATTAATCCACATCAGAGCTACCATGGATATTTCCTCTGCTGGAAGCCAAGGCCTCATGTCTGTGAATGGACTCCTTAAGGAGTCCCATCCCATTGTAGATACCAGCCCCATTGCTTCCAGAGAATCCTAGCTGATTGATCCATGCCATGTTTGCTTACTTACCTTTAGGAAAGAAAAAATCTTTTGTTCGTTTTCTCCATTCACATCCCCCTTCTCAAAGAGCTGGAAATTGGGGACATAGCCACCGCCTGGACGCACATATCTGCAGTGAAATAAGGAATTAAATCAAGGAAGGTTAGGACTGGTCACCAACTGTCCTCACAAAGGGATGGAAAGAACTGTAGAAAGAGAGAGGAGGAAGAGGGGGGTCTCTGGGATCAGGATTCCAAGTGGAGCTTCATAGAATCAGAAAATTCCAAGAGGAAGGGCATACTTTGCCCCCAGATTTCCTGGCCCATCTCCATTTCCGATGTGTCCTTCTTTCCCCTGAATGTCTATTCCTTAGGTCTTCCCTATTCTCACCCTCAAAGAAGCCAAGTGTGGAGAGAGTACTTGGGCATTTCCTGAGGGTTACATGGAATTCTAGGTATCATAATGCCATTCTTCAACCCATTGTTCCATCACCTACCTAGTTAGAAGATTCTGGAACGGGAAGGTATCTAGGCAAATGTGGAAAGGGCATCCGTAGGGCCCCATATAGTACTCACTTGAGTCCAAGGAGAATCTCTGAGTTTTTCCCAGGTTCTTGTTTTCCAAACTGGTTGCAAGGAAAGCCCAAAACGATGACATTGAAGCTCTCCAGCTCCTCCTGCAGTTTGTTTAGTTCTGTAAGCAGAGGGTGAGCAGCATGGGTGGACTCCCCGAATATGACCCAAGGGACCACAAGGTTCACCCTCTCGTCACGTGAATACACCAGAGACTGTGAAAAGCTACAGACATTGAATAATAGGCAGCGGAAACAGCTATAACCCAGGTCTCTGGGAACTTTCTCAATGGCTGCTGATCTTGAGGCACAGGGTTCCCTAAATCTCATTGCTCTTCACCGTGCATACAGAGAGGTTATTTAAAGGAAACAGACACGGACTGATTAGACTTACGAGAAAACCTGCTTGATTCTGAAAGGAGGCTAGACTCAGAGTGCATTGTCTTCATTAGCCGGGTGGATAGGTTGACCAGATGTTTTATAAGGAGAAGGCCAACAAAATGGGAACTCTCCTGTCCTCCCACCGTGTCTCGTGGTGACAACCTCTGACACTACCCCATCACTCTCCCAGAAGCACTCTTGGCTGTTGCATGTTAGAAGTAACAGAAAAATCAGAAAACCAGAGTCTGGCTGCAGTGCTCACCTATAATCTCAGCACTGGGGAGATAGAAGCAGGGGGATGGCCATAAGTCATAGGTCAGCCTGATCCATATGGTGAGTTCCAGGCCAACCAAGTCTACATAGTTAGACACTGCCTTAAAAAAAAGAGAGAAAAATCCAAACCTGGCTACATAGTATTCTCTACCTGACCTCAATACCAACTAACTAACACCATTTTCACCTCCGTAGGCTCCAGGCCACAGCATGAACTGTTCTTCACACACCAAGAGTCTCTTATGTGTCTGCTCAGACTTGTGCCCCTGCTCTGTTTTCAGTCCTTTGCAGTTTGGAGTTACTCCTCAGAACCAGCCGCTAAGCTCATCTAGGCTCAGCATTGCTTGCTGGTGTCTCCCCTGAGAACCTCTGCTTGGAGGAGAGTGTCTTTGTGTTTTAATATGTTTCTTGTGTATTTTATGTGAGATATCTATTTAATAAATGTAATATACAATTTATTTTGAGACAGAATTTCAAATTTAGTTTGAGATGGCTTCTAGCTCACTCTGGAGCCAAGGATGACCTTGAAATTTTGACCCTTCCCCTTCCCAGTGCTGGGATTAGCAACTTGCTGATGGAGGAGGGTCATCTGTCTATGTGTTACTCTCATTGGTTAATAAAGAAACTGCCTTGGCCTTTGATAGGACAGAAAATTAGATAGGCAGAGTAGACAGAACAGAAATCTGGGAAAAAGGGAAGTGAGACACAGGCTATAGCTCTCCTCTCCAAGATGGACACAGGTTAAGATCCTTCCCGGTAAGCCACCACCTCATGGTGCTACACAGATTATTAGAAATGGGTTAAAGCAAAATGTGAGAATTAGCCAGTAAGAGGCTAGAGATAATGGGCTAAGCAGTGTTTAAAAGAATACAGTTTCTGTGTAATTATTTTGGCTAAAGCTAGCCGATGGCTGGAAGCTGGGTGGCGCCCCACTGCTCCTTCTACAAGGATCAGAAGTTCAAGACCAACCTTGTCTACTGGAGACCTTGTCTCAGACAAACAGGAAAGTGAGGAAATAGCAGGTGCTGATAAGAAATAACATCCAAGGTATTTCATTATGCAAAAGAGCAAGGTGAAAAATAATTTGTGTATCTGTACTCTTATCTCGCTCAAACACACACACACACACACACACACACACACACGAGAGAGAGAGAGAGAGAGACTAATTTCAGGAAATATATACTATAAACTATGACAAGTCACTTATAGGCACCATGCCTATTAAACCCTTTTGTATCTTCTGAATGCAGTGAAGTATTATATAATCGACATATGTATCAAAATTAAATATAAAAAATTCCCTCAGACCTACCCGAATGCTAGTCAAGTACTCCACCATTCTCTTACTCCTAGAATTAAATTATAACAACTTCCCAAATACCATATTTTCAACTATTTGAAGGAAAGAAAATCCACATTTGTTAACTGATACTAAACTGATTCGGGCTTTTAGATTCTTGTGGTTTCTAAACATTTAATGCATAGCATTTCAGGTTTTCCTTAAAGTGGATTTCACATAAGAAGATAGGAATATAGTGGTTAAGAGCACTGACTGCTCTTCCAGAGGACTCGGGTTCAGTTCCCAGTACTTACACTGCATCTCACGACTATCTGTAACTCCAGTTCCAGAGAATTCCATACCTCTTCTGACCTCTATGGGCACTGCATGCATAGGTTCACATAGTATGGTTCACATACACATAGATACATATATACATGCATACAGACAGACAAAACAGCCATATACATAAAATTAAATTTAAAAACAAAAGACAAGAACAAAAACCCTGTAATTTCACCACTAAACTGAAACAAGTCTTTAGCTTCTCTGGAAATCTGAGCCAGTTGTTTGGCTGTGATTTGTATCATGTGGTATTTTATTTATTTATTTATTTTTAATTTCCTTGAGACAGAGCTTCATGTAGCCTGGCTGGCCTCGAATAGAATATGGAACCAACAGTGACCTTGAACTCCTGATTCTCCCTCATCCACCTCCCAGGCTATACTATTAACGTCTGTCTGAGGAAGTGGCATTGCCACACAATCATGGCTATGTCAAGCACCTTTCTCTGAATAACTTCAAAATACCAAAATCTGATGATACATGTCCTAGAGGAGACATCGCAATATACACCAATTTAAGTTGTATTTAGGAAGCAGAAAATTATGGAATCTGTAATTATTTTAGCTGCATTAAAACAAATTGATAGAGTGCAACAGCATTGTTCACAAGTATAATCCAAGCATTTGGGGGCAGAGAAAGAAGAATCATGAATCTGAAAAAGTGAGATCCTATCTCGAAAATTACTTTTGAATAGCACCTGATATTTTTGAATAGTCAAGTAGGTAGCAATGTTAATATATGGAATTTGTGAAAACTTATTCCTGTATTATTTTGGCCCATTTATCTGTAGCATATGATTCAATAAACCTTTCAAATTTGTTGTGAATATTCTTATAATAATAATGTTCTTAGCATGTCAAAAATTATATCTAACACTTGTACAATTCATGTAGAAATTTATATGACCTTATCTGGGTTTTTTTTTTTTTTTTTTGTCTGAGACAGGATTTTTCAATGTAGTGTTGGATCTTGTCCTGGAACTCACTCTGTAGACCAGGCTGGCCTCAAACTCACAGAGATTTGCCTGCCTCTGCCTCCCAAGTCCTGGGATTAAAGGCCCACACTACCATTGCCCGGCATGACTTTATCTGGATTAACAAAAATATATAATTCTTCTATGATGACACAATAGGGAGATGGAGCATTCTCCCATATGTATCGCTCTTCAAGCAGCCTTCATGCCAGTTACAGCGGCTTGGATAAAAAAACTCCTGTCATTTCAGCGTTCCTCTGGAAAATAAAAGACCATTCTTATATCCTGGTGGTGGCTGTGGTAGTGGTGGTGATGTGTGTGTGTGTGTGTGTGTGTGAGAGAGAGAGAGAGAGAGAGAGAGAGAGAGAGAGAGAGAGAGAGAGAGAGAGAGGTGGAACCATGGTAGATGTTTGGTATTTTCCTCCATTGGTCCCATCTCCTGTTTCCCTACTTTATGATCTATGACATACACTGTATTTTTTGAGATCATCTCTCTCTGAGAAGAGGTCACTTACCTAGACTGGCTGGACAGTCAGCATGAGAAATCCACCTGCCTCCTCTCCTCTGGTCTCCCAGTTCTCTGGTCTCCCAGTTCTAGGCTTACAAGCATGTGCCTCTACCACGTTTGGATTCTTGTAGGTTCTAGGGAACTGAATACAGGTCTTCGTGCATGTTCAGCAGGCACTTTATGCACTGAGACGTCACCCTAGCCTCATGATATTTGTTTTTATTTTGATACAGGGTCTTAAGAAGTAATTCAATGGTTGAGAATGACTTTGAACTCCAGATCCCCCTGCCTCCCGCTCACAAGTGTTAAAATGTCAGGTTTGTCCCACTGTGCAATGTGATGCTGAGGACCAATCCTAGGACTTCGTGTATGCTCGATAAGCATGCTGCCTGCTGAGCCACACCTCTAACACATAACCTGTATTCTGACTCCCCATTTTACTCCATTGAATGCAAACCAATCTCCTTTATTCTAGGTTCTGACCTGGGAGTCACAGGAAGGATTTGGTGTTCTATCAATCAACTCTTAAGAACATCAACATCACCATATGCAAACATAATCAGCCACGACCAATCAAGAATGCTCCCCAATCATGTCTAAACACCCCCCCACACACACAGTCTAAAGCACAAAATGACCACTTGCCACCCTGCCAATATAAATGATCACAACTGCTTTACCACTTACAGTCACAGCCTGTCTGTTTCTCTCACCATATAGATCTGATTTCTTAAGATAACCAATCACATGATTGCCTCTTCTTCATTTCCTGCCAGCCTCTAATCCACAGCAAAGGTCCAGTTCCTAGGATCTTTCCCCACACTACTTGACACCAGCTCAGATGGCCTGAATGTTTTCTATCCCTTTCTGAGAAGCCTCCATGTCTCCCTTTGGCAGATGCACAACAACTCCGGCTTGTTCAAGCACAGATGCGCTCTTAGTGGTCGTCCAGCATTTCCTGGGGGAAAACCTTAGTGCTTAGTGGAGATAATTCTGGCATGGAAAGCAGCAGAATGGCGAGATTTAGGGGAATAGAGTCAGTGTGCTCATTCATTCCTCGATCCCAGCAGCACAGGGAAAACCGTCTCCATTCACGATATGGTGATGTGACAAGCTGGTTCTGAGAGAGAATTGCAATTTGAGTTCTTACCAGGGTAAGTGGCCGTCAGGCCGCAGAAGGACGCCACATTGACAAAGAGGACGTGCTTCCCTGCATACCGCTGGAACTGAACATACTCCCCGCCATCCAGGGTCTTGGCTCCGTACTCATAGATGGTGCCATTCACCCCCTTGTTGCAGTCCACCTGCAATAGAACACACGCAGCTGTGGCGGTATGGCCTAGTAAGTGATAATTCTCCACACCTGCCAGCATTTTCCAAACACTTGAAGATTTTTTTTCACCCTGTAACTTAAAATTGTAAGAACTGAAGAATTTCTGTTTGAGGAACTCCACATCCAAGCAGGCCTTGGTGGTGGGCACAGACCTGGGTGCCCCTTAGAGGGTGCCCTCTCCAGTGGGCTATGACCTCACTTGATAGAAGGGTAACCTGGGACTTTACAGCTGCCAATCAGAAGTTTACATACCTCCTTACCCTCCACATCCCCATTAACAGAGGTCAAAGCTCAAAGGTCAGAGTTAATGACTTATATAAGCCTCGTGAGAGCATTTTAGAAATGTCTGGGCTCCCAAGAAGATACTGGATCAAAAGCTCTAGCCCTGGGACCCAGTCACCAGTGGATTCTCCGTTAGCTAAGGTCTGGGAATTAACGTGCTCTGTGATGAGATTGTTCCTCGCCTTTTACAGAAGGGAGTGGGAGCTGACAAAAGTAGCTGAAAGCCATAAGTGAGGTTGAGGTTTTCAACGAGTTTCTCTGATATTAAAGTTAAGATATATAGGTTTCTGTCCCACTAGCCCTATTCTGTCTCCTAAGATGCATGCATGAATTTTTTTTAAAAAAACAGGGATGGACACTGACTCTCCATGTGGATACTTTTGGATATGAGGCTCTCTTTCTGGCTCCTTGTGAGGACTTTTGGCTACAGCCCCACAGTGTGATCCTTTCCCTGGAGCAGCACCAAGATCTGAGAAGTCCTTACACTGAGCTGAGCTCTCTGTTCACCTCCCCCCATCAGTCTCTGTGTCTTAATAGTCACTGAAGAAAAGTCCCCTTTCCCTAACCCCGGAGCCCAGTCCAGGTCTGCCCCCCCCCTTGGTTTGGTCCAATTGGTTTGAGAACAGTCTCTCTCCCAACTCACTTGCTACTTAACCACTCATTTCCCAGAACCCAAGGGGCTGCTCCAAAGTGCAGATCAGCGCGGGATAGAGCAGATCCTGATTGTCACAGGGAGCTGGGGAAGGGGTAGCTCAAAGATCCACAAAGTGCAGAGAAGCAGAGAAGATATACGAGGAAAACGCAATAAAGCACGGTGAACAGAGGCAGGCAAGGTGCTGTGGCAGAGGGCCTCAGTGGCAGAAGTCTGCAGAGAAAGGCTGTCAGGCAGCTCTCTCCCTTCAAGAGCAGGATCCTGAATCTCTCGGTAGCTGCAATTACTTATCAGATGTTGGAATCTGTTTAGATCCCGGGCCGGGTGAGGGGAGTTGCTTACCTTTGCTTTTTGAGGACCCAGAGACTCCTGAGCCAAGGCAGCTAGAAATAGTGTGAAAAGACAGGGGACCCAGAACTGCTGGGCCATGGCTGTACAAGGAACACAGGGCGAGTCTTGAACCTCAGGAACTGCGATCCCTTTTGAGTGTCCCCAGCAGGCAGCAGTCTGGAGATGCACAGCCAATCACAGAGCTCCTTTCACTCTCCTCCCCTCTCCTCTCCACCTCACCCTCGCTCTTCTGATGGAGGAGCCGCGTGAATAGGCACGTGTTCTCCAGGTGAAGGTGAGATGAAGGCAGACACCTTTCTGTCTGGAACCTGAGAGGCTGTGCCTCCCCTCTCCAAGTGGTTGGGGTAACTCGTGCCAATGAACCACAGCCTCCTTTCCCACAACATGTTCACAAGGTTTGCATGCAAACTAAAGTTAGAAAAGCCTTGACTCAGATTGTCAATGCGGCGCAGCCTGGAGAGGCAGGCACTTGCAGCCTGAGGAGTTCTCTTCCCCCATAGAGACCCCTGCTCCTGCTCAGGTAAAGCCAGATCCTCAACTATGCCTTTGAAAAGAACTCGGGACCAGAGAGAACAAAGCAGGCAGTATATCAGGTATTTAGACAAAGAGGCATGAAGGGAAGGGCAGAGCACAGACCCAAAACATAGCTGGACATTCTGCTGTGGTTTTCTAAGCCGATCCGCAAATCCTGTAATTTACAGCAAGATTAAGTGAAGCTCAGAATTTAAGTAATGTTTAAAAGTAAAAAAATGCACGCACTGGTTCAGTTTGTAAAGACTTAAATTTTAATTTAGTATTTTGTGTATGGTGTGTGAGCGTGCATGAGGAGGTCACAGAAGAGCTGTGTGTGGCTAGTTGTCTCCTACCTTACATGGGTGCCTGAGACTAAACAGAAATCATGTTTGCGAAGCTGACACCTTTATAACTGGAGTTACCTTGTGTCAGTGGCCATGAGAAACAGGTGGCAACCAGTGTTCAGATGTCAGCCCACCCCGGGGTATGGTTAATCTATCTGCTGGGGGGATTAATCCTGTCCAAAGTCGGCAGGGGTATTGACTCTGAAAGCTGTTGCTCACTTTTGCTGAAGCAGCTTGGTGTCTTCCCAAAATCTGCATTGTAGTGTGTAATCTCATGTGATGTTTATATGTAATCTCATGATTGCGTCTTAATTTTACGGGCACGTATATCTGTGGGTGGTCAGGCTTAGCTATATAGTTTTTATATATAGAACAGATGCTGGGACTTGCTTAATAATTGGACCTTTTCGGCCCACAAGGACTGGAGATATTTAAAAGCCTGCCTTATTCTTTTGCTTACTGGATGACTTTGCCCACCCCTTAAGACCTCCAGTGAGAGAATTTAGTCACGTAGCCAGAGACCTTGGTTCCCACATAGCTCCATTCTGTTCCCTGAACTACCTCCCAGCAACTATCTTCCAATTGACAGGACACGCAGTCATGAAAGGAGTATTTTATATAGATCACAGTTGGGACCTTCAAAGATAAAGGCAGATCCTGGCTCAGAGAATTGCCTTTGTTTTGCGTGTGTATATAAAAACTGGAATCTTTACAGAACAGGAGAAGAACGGCAAAAGAAGAATAGAGAACATGATTGTAACAGTATGTGTGAACGCTCATTCCGTTACTTCTTGGGCTAGAACTTTTCTAAGTCCATCGTTGTGCTGAGGCCACCCACCTGAACCTTGACAGGGAGTCGCTAGAGCTCGACTCTGCTGGCCGCTGATAATCTTGCCATCCCTAGTTTGTTCATTTTTGCTGTTCTTTGGGTTTTGGTTTGGTTTTTTTGAGACAGAGTTTCTCTGTGTAGTCTAGAAAGGGTTTCTCTCTGTCAGGCCTGGTTGTTCTGGAACTAACTTTGTAGTTCAGGCTGGCCTAAACTCACAGAGATCCTTCTGCCTCTACTCCCAAGTGCTGGGATTAAAGGCATGCGCCACCATCGCCCGGCTTGACTCTTCTGTTTTGTAACACCTTTGTTTGGGACATTTTTAGGAAAACACGTTACTTCTGCAGCCAATTTTGGATTGATTTATTGTGATAAGATTTCTTGACTTTCAGGCAGCAGAAAGGGCAAACTGGATCCCAAGGTAAAGGTGTCTTTCTCTTCTCACACCCCCTTAATCTTCCCATCTTTTTTATTCTGCCTCAAGATGACTATCATTTGTTCTGTCCCTTCGAACTTCACCATTTAAACAACAACAAAAAAAGGTCAGATTTTTAAAATATGAAGCCAGGCTATTGGTGCTAAGCAATTTGGTTTTGCCCCTCACTCTGGCCCCCAGGGAAGACTTCCTTAACAGAGGCAGAACAAAACAAGGGGCACACATTCCTAGTGGCAAGTTATCAAAGAGAAAGCTTTAGGCCACGAGTCAGGAAGGACCTGGCCTTCGTTTTCCTCCTCTGCAGATACTTGTAATAATCTCTGCCCTGCCTGTTCTAAAATGTGTTATTGTGAAGGTTTAGAAGCAGCCAAAACGTTGCTCCAAAATCTTTGAAGTGGGTGAGAACTGTGTCTCCTCGCTGCCTCCTCTCACGTCCATTCCATCGACCTGGTTTTCACTGCCGGCTTAGACTCATCAGGAAGCCTTCCTCTCCAGGTCTTAGCCTTCTGTCATCCAGCTCCGCCACCCGCCCCGCCCCTTCCAAGATCAAACAAAGGGCCTTCTATGCCTTTGAGAAATGCGATCTGGATGGAGTCTAATTCTTTGCAACTCTTAGAAGGCACCCTTTTTGTTATCTGGAATCTCTGCATTCCTTCACAGTCCAGGATTTGACCGGACATCCAATGCAGCCACGCCACACTCAGGGCCCTGAGGCAGCTGTGCAGAAGGCGCCCCTCATAGTGCACATCTCCAAGATCTTCAGCCTTCTCCCATTCTCAGTTTTAAGAATAGCTGAACCTTACGGTGAGTGTATTTTCCCACTTTACAAACGCAAGCATAAACTTATAAAAGGTCACTTGACTTAATATTTCTGTTTGCTTTGTTCATCAGATGCACTAACTACACATATTAGGAACATGAAAAATGACATTTATTTATCTCTATCTGTTTGTTCATATGTTTCAGGATCCTACACCATAACCTTGGACAGAAGGCAACCTACTTTGTAGCCCAGGCTGGGTCTCAAAACTCATGACAAATCTCTGCTTCAGTATCCCGAGTGCTGGAGTTATAGGCATGAGTCACCCTGGCTTTCCAGTGATGCGTTTGTTGTAGTTTCCTTTTATTTACATTTTTGTGCACGTTTTGCCTTGTACTGCCTAATGCTTGAAGGAAACTCTGACTCAGGCTGGCTTTGTTCTGGTCCTGAGCTTTCATGATACCCGTAGCCCCAGCTTAAGGTCCTCCAGAGTCTCTGTCATTATTAGCAGAAACCCTACCTTCATCTGCTTCAGGAAATAGTTCTGGCAGTTGGTGGCACAAGAGGGAGACTGTGTAAAGATGAACAGGTGCCTTCTGGGGTGCTGCTCACACCCATTGTTCTCAGCACAGTGGACATCGGAGGTCCCACCATGTCCCCACATAACCACAGCATCTGAAACACTGTGACTGTTCTGGATGGAGATGCTCTAAACATGTAACCAATGGCCACCAAAGGGCTGAAATCTCCCCCTGAGTCCTATGCTAGATATCAGGAAAGGTTGAGGCCCAGCTATCAACCAGAGGAAGAACTTTACTCCCATGTAGACATTTCACACAGGGCTGACAGCTTGCTTGACAGGCCAGAGTTGAAACAATGTTGGATCAATGTTGGGAGCGACAACGTATTAATCAGGACTTAGATAAGAACAGCCTTTGCCCTCTATGTAAACCTAAACCCTAGTTCAGTATCCCAGAGATGGTCCTGAAGGTCATTAGACCTCTTTGCTTGTCCTTCTTCCCAAAAGGCCACAATGAATGAATTCTTCCTTCTCTGCTTTTCACTACTGTTTCTTTAGTTGGCCTCCTGGAAAGTGCTGACTATCGAGACTGCCAGACCCAGGTTTTGAACATGATAGCTCCAATAACAATGTCCACAGTGCTCACAAGAGTTACTGTCTCATTTGGGCATAGAACAAGATGTCTCCCAAAAAAGCATAGTCCCAAGGTTGCTGTAACTTAGGTTTACTTTTCTCTGAGAAGAAAGGAGAATGCTTATATCAGGCTAAATTTCAGAGATGAGACTAAAAGATTATTGTATTAATTTATTTTCAAATTTATTTTCTTCCCTCCTGTCCCCCTTTTTTCCTAAAGTGGGTCTCACTCTCCACATTAGGTTGACCTTCACTTCTTGGAAATCCTTTTGTCTCCCCTTTTAAAACCTGGCCATACAGTTGTGCACTACCTCACTTCAGAGTCTTAATGTTTTCTCCAATTTTGAGAAACTCAGCTCTTTTGGTGATGTTGTTGTTTTTTATTTTTTTACTCTGGCTTTTTGGGGGTCCCATCACTCAGCTCCCAAAGAAATCACGTGCAGAACCTTATTATTACTTATGAATGTCTGACCTTAGCTTGGCTTGTTTCTAGCCAGCTTTTCTTAACTTATTCCGCCTACCTTTTCCCTCTGAGCTTTTATCTTTCTCTTACTTCTGTAAATCTTCCTTTACTTCTTATTCTGCAGCTTGCTCCTTGAGTCCTCTCTCCTTCTTTTCTCTTGTTCCTTCCTTTGTCCAGAGTTCTTCCATTTATTCTCTCTCCCTGCCAGCCCTGCCTGTCCTTTCTCCTGCTTTGCTATTGGCCATTCGGTGCTTTATTAGACCATCAGGTGTTTTAGACAGGCAAAGAGTCACAGCTTCATGGAGTTAAACATCTGTAACACAAATAAATGCAACACATCTTTACATTGTTAAACCAATGTTTCAGAGCATAAGCAAATGTAACACACCTTAAAATAATATTCTACAACATTGTGATCAGTGATATCTCACCTTGAGAAGACCAGGACATGACAGTATTACTCTAAAAGTCTAGAACCTCAGCATACATATATTCCAGCTATGTAATCTATACATAGAAAGGACAGGCACAGAAAGTGAAGCGGCTGGTCACCCTGACCTTGCACAGCCCTGGATAAAAGCCAGTCTGCTTCTGTTGCTATAGTGAAAAGTTAGGGCTCACTAAGACT